AAGAATATTTACGCCTTCCAGGTTGAAAGTGAAAAGCCGTCGGAAGTGAAAGCGCAACCATTAGTCCGACCTGTTATTGAAGTGGATGGTAAAGGAATGAAGTCAGTAGTTGAAAAATCGACACCAGAAATTGCAAGCCAGGACTATAGTAGCGGTAGCTCTCCATCATTCCATCGCAATGATCTCGACAACACATCTGTAAACCTGTCATGGGATGGCAGTATTATCCACGATAATGTGTCTATTGCTCCAGATATTGCAATCGATTCCACATCCAGAGATTTCAATTGCGAAAATGGGCCTAGTGATAAAGAGGAGAAGAAGAGCGATACAGTGGCAATGCCAAAGACTGATGATGATGGTGGGAATAGTAAAATATCAGCTTCGATTAACCTTGATAACATGAAGAAGCCAGATGGAGCAGAATATTCGGTAAGTAGGCTAAAAATAACAATCCCATGATGAGTAAAGTTGTCAAGGAAATCATCTTTACAACGTTGATATTATTCAATAATCGAGCTAAGATGGATGTTGTGACAGATTATCATGATTCAATTTATGCCTAGAATCTTGTATTTATCCGAAATGGAAACGACGAGCTTATCCCTGCAGGAACCATTCATGAAATTTCTTCAGCGACCCATTCTGAACATCTACCCGATGTGAACCAAACTGCTGATGACGATCGCGAGCCCATTTATTATAACGTTGATAGCGATCCTATCTACTATAAGTCTAATGGCGATCCTATCTACTATAAGTCTAATGGCGATCCTATCTACTATAACGATGATAGCAACCCAATCTATTATACCGCTGATAGCGAGCCTGAAGAACAGGAAATCAATTTAGAGTTGAAAGGGCAAATTACACCCAACTTTTCAAATCGCCCTTTGCCGCTTTCTGCTGCAATAGACCAAGATCACCATTTATCCAAAGGTGATGCCGATGCAACGGAAAATATTTATGAACCTATTGATATACATAGTAAGCCAGAAGCCGCTGTAGAAATGGATGGCGATAACATCGATGGGGATAAGAAAAAGAAAAAGAAAAGTTCAATTGCTAAAATGGCGAATCGACTATTTAAAAGGGTAGGCAGAAAATGAACTATCACGTCATTAATTTAATCCTATTTCCAATACAGGCTTGACGACAACATATCAAATAATTGCCAGTTTGCTAATATTTTTAAACTGTTATTCCACTTCCATTTTCATCATTTCTATGAATCGAATTGACCGTATAGTTGTCAATGAATAAGATGAATTCTTTCTGGTATTTTGAAATAGTTATCACGGAAAGATGTACGAGAAGTAGAAGCAGAAGCAGAGGAAATGGGTAATAGTCATCATGAACTTGCAGGTAAGAATGTACGTGGCTTGGATGAAGTAGATCAGCCGAATGAACCTGGATCACCGGATACCGCTCCTCAATCGCCATCAACACAGGCAGATCTACATCCATTCCATTCCGCGAGTGAAAATAACCAAGCCAATATTTACTTATCTTATCCAGATCAAGCAGTAGCTAGTCCGAAGATGACTGGGCAAATAGGAGCATCGATCGAGTCCAAGCAGAACTCTAACTTAGCCATGGATAATAACATGACTCAAGACGCATCTAGTTCTGCCAGACCATTAACTATATCAACGCCGAAGATGACTGGGCAAATAGGAGCATCGATCGAGTCCAAGCAGAACTCTAACCTAGCCATGGATAATAACATGACTCAAGACGCATCAAGTTCTGCCAGACCATTAACTATATCAACGCCGAAGATGACTGGGCAAATAGGAGCATCGATCAAGTCTAAGCAGAACTCTAACTTAGCCATGGATGATAACATGACTCAAGACGCATCAAGTTCTGCCAGACCATTAACCATATCAGCCAAATTCTCTTCCAATATTCATGCCGACAGTCATAATACACCGGAGAAACCAAATTTGCCAGATCAAACTATTTCAAAGCCTAATGGCGAAGCAATGAATTTGCCAGTATCTGCTAGAGTCCGATCTTTGGGCAAGAAAGAAAGCCACCCATTTCATAGCAATACAAATATAGAGGTAAAAAATCCTTATAAAAGAGCGACGCCGGAGTCCATAGAATCATTGCCTGCTAGCCAACCTACTCAAGATTCTACACCATCGATAGTACAAGATGAAAAGCCATTAGGAAGTGCTATCATTCAAGGGCAATCCCTTCCATCATATCACCTTGGTACATTGGGATCTTCCATCAAAATTAAAAATGCAAATGCCAAGCAAGATCCTGCTGCACTTGATATCAAAGCTACTGCTAGTATCTCTCATGCAACGGATAATATGACCGACAGCAATCTTGGCAAGGAAAACGACGCTAAGATCGGTGAGAAGTCGACATTATCCATGGGAAATCCCTCTTTATCAGTCAATATCGGAATGGATAGCAATCCTCCTTTGGCTGATGCAGTTATATCGGACAGCTCTAGTGATGAGGAGGGAAGCCTTTCAAAAAACGTTCGATATAGTCAAAATATTGATTCCATGGCCAAATCATTTCTTGATGGTGCATCATTTTAATAAGCTGACTGAAAGAATAACGCTTATAAAATCTTTATGGCTGATTTATTGAAACTATTGGCTGCCATTTATACGCAATAGACAATTAAATAATCCTTTATTGAGGACAACTTTTACAAAATGTTAAAGTAAACGTAAATATTATTGAGATGATGGTAAATAAAGAGGTACTTCACAATCTAGGTGCTAATGAGATGATGACCGATACTAAAATTCATTAGACATTCAAAATAATGAATTAGCAAGACGCAAATTTTATTTCGGTTATTTGCATAGTCTAGATGTAGTTCTATTTGCTATAAATGCTATTAACGAGCCTTAAAGTTTGATGATAAAAAGTACAAGATATCATGAAGGGTTTCTAAAGTCTGCTTTATATTCTCTTACCGCTTGTGTAAATTAAGTATCCAATACTTAATCTAAATAGAATGTATCGTGATGAGAAAATTGTTAAACTATTGCAACGAATGAATTTTCACTTTCATTACTTCATTGATGATATTTATCCCTAACAGTATCTAAACTATCATCATAATTAGGATAAACTTTTGAAGAAAATTATTTCAATATCATAATTAGTAGCACTCATTCTCCTACTATTTTATACTTTATTAATGGGATTTTATCCATATCAGCATTTCCTTTTAATCGTAATCACTAGGATAACCTTTGCAAATGCTCGTATTCCACGCAAGATAATTTTGATCTAAACTGAATAATTTCAATCATATTTAATAGACGTATTTAAAGATGTTGGGTAGTCTACTTATGTCGAATTCGTTTTCATCTTGAATACTCATTGAGCAATTAAGCTGATCAACGAAATGATTTTTTGATATTATGTCAGGCGTGCTGATAGAGTCAAGTTATCATCGTTTAAAAAGTTAACTAGTTCATGTATTAATTGACCAAAGAGTCTGATCGATTTCCCGCACTTATATACAGGACTTCTGATATACTACAATGAATTGTCCATGATAGTATATGTAATATAATTTATAACTTTCTTGGGTATATGTTTATGCAACCTGTTTGCTATCCATAACTCTTGGATGATTGCAATCTAAAGTATGGTTAATAAGATCATTACTACTTTTATGTGCGTAAATTAATGTAATCAAAAGGTGTTCTAATAACGTTATTATGCGTGATGAGAATAAAAAGGATAAGGTAGTTTAACTTTTTTCTGGTGTCTATAGCACAGATAAATCAATTAGCTAAGCCACTGCCAACGCAAATTAGCATATAATTAGCAGATAGTCGTTCATGTGAATGGCTTAGCGTTGAATTCCTAGAATATAAATCAATCAAATATGTTATCGACTTGAATAATGAGATATAATTAGTCTGAATTCTTTATCTAGAGTATTCAAATGATGGAGAAAACGTGTCTCCATTATCCTGGACTTAAGTCTATATTGAATTCATTATCATAATCTACTCTCTTCTCCAATTGCACCATGATTATTCAATATAATTTAGATTATCATATTCCTATACATTCATTTTAATCCTATTTCATTCAGTTATTTTGTACATGGAAAATCCCCAATAGCAATAGGCTAGTGCAATTTTTTAGAGTTAACGATTTAATACAAAGAAGGTCAAGAATAAAATGCTTAGTAACAAATCAAAAATATTTTTATATCTGTATAATAAACGGAAAGATGATGAATCACTCGATGATGAATAGACCACCATGATTGCAATGGTAGACAGTCGGATTTGTTTTGACGGCAGCACAATTCAACAGACATATTTGCAATGAATGCATGTAAGTTAATAAATAGGCGGTCCTGACTGTAGCTGCACCCAAGGATGCCAACTATTATTAAAGTATACTTTCTGATGGCAATCCCATGAGATTTTTGAAAGGCGGAATCCTCCTCCCAAGCTTGTGCCGCCATCATATCAATTTAGGATAATAGTTGATGATAGGCTGAATAAGTAACGGTAGGGGATAATCATTTCTCCTTTCTTCTCTTACTTCATAGAATAAAAATAGTTGGTGGTCGAGAAAATAGAATACAATTAACTCCGTAATGGAGTGACGATATTTTTTTTTTCAACTTTCTATAGTCAATTATTTATCCTATGGGTTATAAAGTTATTCTGTTTGCGATAGAGACATTCCATCGACAGACTGGCTTGGGTTATCGCCCAATTGAGTAGACCATCCATTTCGCTGATGGGAGAAAAAAATCAACGATAAAATTGATTTTTGTCTGTCCAAAATGGAAAGAAAGTTGAAGAAAAGTCGTTCTATCGAACAAAACGATTCGGAAGTAAAAGGATTAAAGAAACGTAAACCAGTTACTTCTATCCTTGACAGTCAAACTTTTCGCAAAGAGTTAGAGAGTATCACTCAAGGCCATGCCCATAATTATTTACCGACCGCAATTAAACCAAGACCCAATAATCCAATTTCAACCGTAGATTTATCCACTGTAGCCTTTCATCGCTTCTATCCTATTGCGGATCTCAGTAGCAGAAGTAACTATAGCTTTGAAAAAGGAGAGAAAAATTTACGATGTAAATTAGCTTGTGTTTTCCGTTTAATTGATATTTTGGAATGGGAACAGTGTCATGGCACCCTTATTACGGTAAGACTCTGTTCATTAACATTGCCCTTTGCTTTTAAAGAATAATTTAAACACCTTTTTTCTATTTTTGCAATCCTGTTGATTAAGGCTATCCCAGGAAAATTTGTTTTACATTAAAATGATTTATAAAATATTAGATGACTTAGTCTAATCCACCGCCCACTTTACGTCCTTCTTTCCTAAGCATAATATAGACGTTATTGATCACTTCGCCTGTTGCTATATCACGACTTAAACGATCAGTCTTTTGCGAGTTTTTATTCAAGAAAATAAAAGTTGAAATTTGCTAATGGATGATGTTACTCTTAATTCTAATTCTTAGTCTTTAAAGTAGTATCCTTAATTATTATTTTTTTTTCCCCTCCTCTTGATCTAATTAGAGTCGCATTAGCATGGGGAAATATCAATTTTTAGCTAATCCGTATGGCTTATCCTATCAAGAAATATCGGCTAGAAAATTATTGAAAGTCAACGGTCAAGGCCAAGCTGTAGATCTACATCGCCAAGCTTTCTTGGTCGATCAGCGTCAATTTGTCGTCCATCAATATGTTTATACAGCAAAACCAGAAACGCGCTGTATCATCCACTTGAGGACTCCAACAACCTTAGCCGTAAGTCTTGAAATATTACTCTTTCTTCTACATCAGCAGTTCAATTTTTGGGTTTAAATGATACAGAAGGCAATTTTGTATAGCCCCATGTTTACGCTTTCTTGACAAGGAGGCAAGGCGCCTATTCTTGACAATGGATTCAATTCTCAATGTTCTATAATATAATTTATTGATTGAAGGCAACAATAGTTACTTAAAATTGGATCATCTTTATGTCATGTTACTGTATCAATATAATTAATTGATCCAGTGTTTCCATTATAGAGAGAGGAAGGTCTCTGATATGCTAACTACTGTACATGGATCTATCTTAAATATGATCATTACTCTTTCAGATATCCGCTACCAAAGCTGGCTTACTACCATTATGCCAAGAAGCCACAGAGGTTAGCTTGTTGTAGCGCTAGTCGTAAAATAGAGATTAGTGTACTTTAGACAAGACTTTAGGTGTAAATTGGATTTGATATTACAGTCCATTTTATTCCATCGAACAAGCTTAGTTACAGTTCGAGTCATTGCGGTATTTCGAATTTCAATCTAGCATATCTGAGTGATAGTTATCCACCATAAAATAGAATTTATTCTCATTTGAATCATTTTAACGACCGATCAAGGCACTTACACTAAACAGTATCCCTTCGGATTGTAATTTACAGATTTTTCCTCAATTTCAATTTAACTGCAATCCGACAGCCTTGGATGATAAGGATAGACAAGCGTTTGTTAGCGAATTCGCTCGATCCCCAGCGCAGGTTTGAAAAATAAATGTTGTCACCGTTTATATCACCAAAGTAAATCGTTTCAATAGTAAATCAGGAATAGAGCATTACTAATTTATTATAAGTAACATGGTTTCTATTTGAATCAATAGATATCCGATAACGAGCTATTTGATGAGTACTCCTTACTTATTTTATGAATAGATTGTACTGATGAAAAATAACGGATTTTTTGTTACTGGATTAACTGTTGAAGAAGCTTTCTACAATGCAACACGTGTGATTAAGGCTTGCGATGTTGAAGTAAGTAGAATTTAATGTTACTACTGCAAGTTTGAATAGTCTCATTTTCCAGTAAGTGATTTATTATTATTTGATCTTTACTCGTATTACCAGATTTGATCATAGTAGACCGGTGAATTATAGTAACTCTTCGATACTTTAGACGTTAGTTCAATAATAACCATCTTATCCATTCATGGCGTAGATATAGTATAGACTTCCAAGATGGTATAATTTTACAGTTATTTCAGTCCTGTACATTAGAATATTATGCTGCCTTTAAAAAAATAGCCTAAAAATTGTCCAGGAACAATATACTTTACATTCGTTGGGAATAGACGATAGTATATATATAGTCAAAGTGATAGTATACTGTATATATAGTCGAAGTAGTTTATCATTGATCTTTACTCGTATTACCAGATTTTATCATATCAGACCGTTGAATTATAGTAACTCTTCGATACTTTAGGCGCTAGTTCAATAATAACCATCTTATCCATCCATGGCGTAGATATAATATAGACTTTCAAAATGGTATTATTTTACAATTATTTCAATCCTGTACATTAGAATATTATACTGCCTTTAAAAACAGCCTAAAAATTGTCCTGGAACAATATACTTTATATCCGTTGGGAATAATCGATACTACGAAACTTCCAAGTTCAAAATTATTCAACCCAATTGAATTCACTTCCATTTTCATTTTAGCTCAGCTACTTAGCCCTAGGACTACATAATTTACATCAAATTCCAGTCGAAATAGATTATTCTATTGAAAATGGAAGCTACTCAAAGGAAAAATTACACAAATGCAAGATCGAATTTGAAGCTTATATAAGAAATTTGGATATGAGGGTAACCATTTTAAACCAGTTGATAAAATATGGACATTATACGTATATTACGAGTTACGCTACATGATAATAGTGCAGCATTTTTGTAAGTCCAAGCTTATTCACTTGAAAAAATTGTTATTATTTTTGAACGTAATGTAGGGTTGTAGAACCGGTTACTACTATCGACTGCCAGATCCTAATAAGGAACGCTTATCGACATCCCATAAAATACCATCTGAATTGAGAAGAATACGTTCACCGCCTACTTCTATTGGCTATAAAGCATCTGACAATAAACTGGAAGAGAATGCATTAAGCCCACAAACATTACTATCCTCGCAAACATTCCAAAATTACAATCAACGGCGGAGTTGGTTTAGTGATGTAGGTCCAGAATCTGATAAATTAAGTTGTAGGATTAGATAACTGTTTACTACCGCTGTTATTGATTTTTGATTGCCTTCACATCTTCTATGCCGTAAGATTTGCAAATAGTAAAATTTAAATCGTACCGAAAATAAGAGTATATCATTGTCTAAAATCTCTCTCAATTTCATTTAATAAGTCAAATATAGCCGTAGAACAAGATATGGAAGAAATGCCATCAGATCATTCCAGTGATGAAGATGAATTCGCATTTGAACAGGATTATACACCAGAATATGAGGAGGATTTGGAACCTGACGACGATCAAGAACATGAAATAGAAATTAAACAGTTGGTATGTGAAGTTGCGGTTAATAAAATTAACAGATTGTTACAAATTTTTATTGACATTTAATTAATGGATAAGTTTATATGCCATAATAATACTGAGTTTATCTCCCTTACTCTTCTTAATTATTGTAGGAACGCAGAATTTCTTTCAGAAGGAGAAAAGGCTCAACAGAACGAGTAATGGAACAAAGAGTAGAAACCACCATGGAGCGTAGGGTAGATCACGCAGTCCAACAGAGGATAGAGCATTCGGAAGATCATAAATTAGAACATTCTATGCAGCATGGAATAGAGCATACAGCTCAACATACAATACAACAACAAAATATTATGGAAGCAAGTAGCACAGCTCAATCGTCTACTAATTATAGTGAGAGTCAGTATCAAACTGTAGCTACTAAGGAATTAAGACAGCAGCAAACTGAACATGTTACCACAGTCAGCCAAAACTGGACTACGACTACTTCAAGTATAATCGAGTCAGGTTCTTCTGCCTTCCATATTCAACTAGGTCAAGAATATCAGATTGTTGAGCTAAAGAATGTCGACCAAACACACAATGAATATATAATTTTTAAGAGAGATCAAGGTCTTGTTCAAAAAGCGGAAAATAGGCTAGAAATTTGCCAAAATGAGAATACAGTAGTCAATATATCAGGAAGTCAGCTACAGAAAGATATTCGTCAATCTTCGGAACAAGTTATAACTAATGCAGAATTGGTTACTAGTAAGGACGAGAAATCCCTAAGTAAAGCTGAGGATAGTCTAGTATCCAATATCGAAAGTAACTACAATGTTAATGGAACTGTTAGCAAAGAATGGGAAGTTCCAGTTGTCGAAGAGGCAATAACTGTAGCGGCAATTGTAGCAGATGAAAGTTGTAGTGGTAATATCGATTTAGAACAGCCTCAAGTCAATGAAGATGCTATCGATTCAGTTACAGATAAACCCGATTTTAGTATTAATGGCGCACTTGACTTAAAACTTGATCAACCACAAGTAGATAAAGAACCAACTGCCATAGTTGCTGATCAAACTAACTACAGCTTTGATGTCGATGCGGGTTTACAGCATCCACTACCTTCGCCTGGTGAAGAAGAGCTTGCTTTACCTTCTAGTCAAGTAGATGAAGAGCCAGTTGCTATACTCGCTGATCAACCTAATTACAGCTTTGATGTCGATACGGGTTTAAAGCATCCACTGCTTTCGCCTGGTAAAGAAGAGCTTACTTTACCTTCTAGTCAAGTAGACGAAGAGCCAGCTGCTATACTCGCTGATCAGCCTAATTACAGCTTTGATGTCAATACGGGTTTACAGTATCCGCTACGTTCGCCCGGTGAAGAAAAGCTTACTTTGCCTTCTAGTCAAGTAGATGAAGAGCCAGTTGATATACTCGATGATCAACCTGATTACAGCTTTGATGCCAATGCGGGTTTAAAGCATCCACTACGTTTACCTGGTGAAGAAGAGCTTACTTTGCCTTCTAGTCAAGTAGATGAAGAGCCAGCTACTATACTCGCTGATCAACCTAATTACAGCTTTGATGTCAATGCGGGTTTACAGCATCCACTACGTTCACCTGGTGAAGAAGAGCTTACTTTGCCTTCTAGTCAACTGGATTATAATATTAACCTAGATAAACCACAAGTTGATGAAGACAACACCACTTTGGCTAAGCCTGATTACACCATAAATTTTAACGGAAAACCGCAGTTACCTGTAGTTGATGAGAATATAACTTCAGACATTGACAGACCAGATTTCAGTACCAACCAAGAACTTGTTGATGAATCTCCCCAAACTCCTATTATCGAAGGAGCACTTTCTGCAGCTGTTGTTATTCCAGACTTTAGTGACAACTTTGATATGGAAGACCAATTGCAACATCCGTCGATAGAGGGCGAAGTGGAAACTTTGGATAAACCAGATTTAGAAGTAAGTCCTGAACAGTTAGTTGCATCTCAGCCAGAATTACCAGAAGTGAATGCAGAAAAAGCACCTTTACCAGAACTTCAAGCAAGCTTTGCTTTTGGGCAAGAGTTCTCTCCTGATGCACAAGGCAAGTATATTGTTAGCTAGTTTACTAGTTGGCTCTGCAATTTCATGATCGTTTAGAATCAACTATAATAAGTTAATGTATTACTTAATAACTTTAAACGATTCTATCATGGCAGAAGAAGTGGAAATGCCTGAGATGGAACCTGTCGCACTAGAGATAACAACAGAAAACCCTAGTCAACTAACTCAACCTGATCATGAACTGATGCCAGAAACTTCCTATGAGGTAGTATAGCTATACTATAGAATTATTCAGCTTCAATTCCATTTTATAAAAGTAACTATTGTCTTGTTTGAAATAGTTGGTTACAAAAACGTTACTTTAATACCGATGCCAAATTTTTATAGAATGGATGAAAGTTACTCTGTGCTACCTTTCCAT